AAGGATCTGAGTTCAATCCCTGGTTCCGCAAAAAAAAAAAAAAAAAAAAAAAAAAAAAAAAAAAAAAAAAAAAAAAAAAAAAAAAAAAAAGAAGGCACAGGGAAAACAGGTTTCTTTCAGTGGCCTCGAAATACTGTGGGTATTGACTTCGAGCCCTTGTTCATTCTCTGCAGAGGTTTTAGGGAAGATCTGTTTGAGTCCTGCAACATTGAATGGTAAGCTGCACGGGTGTCTGCACACGCTTTGCCATCCATTGAGTCTGCAGACCCTGAGTGTCAGGGAGCAGAGAATGGGAATGAAGGCTGCAGGGCAGAAATCTGAAAGCGGGGCCTGTCAGTGGCTCGCAGGCGTCAACTCCGTAGAGCAGCAGGACTGGGGTTTCTCTAGGGAGAGCAGGCAGGTGAGCAGAGGGAGCGAGTCCCAAGCACTCCAGCTCGCCATGTAGATTTCCCATTTCCCAGCTGGAAGAGTAGTCCACATCACCGACTGGGTTCCAGAGTGATTCTGGTGGAGCAGCGGTGGGGGCTTTGTAGTCGCCTCCCATTTGGATCCCCAGTCAAGTGTAAATTTGTGGATGCCAGAGGTTTCTGCCTCTGTCCAGTGGGGGAGACTTGGATCTTCTTTTTTCCCATTCTTGGTACAGATGGTATAGTTATTTTAAGGAAGTGATTGCTGCAGTGAAAATGGGCAGCTCTTTCATTTTTCAGCTTAATGAAAAAGAGAAAAGGGAGGAGGAGAGACTCCAGCTAGCCAGCTTCGTGCTAATGCTTGTTGTTTTTGGATTCTAAATGTGTCCCATGACACTGAGATCGGATAACTATTTCAGCCACTAGAAAGTCCTCCTGTTAAGTTAAAAAGCTTTCTACTGTCTTTAAAGCAAGCAGGGTAGTAATTTATTTGGACAAGTCCAGGTACCCGATGTCCCCCAATTTTAACTGCAGATGTGTACATCCTATTCACATCATAGGGACTAGGGATGTGAGGCAAGGGTGGGTAGAACTTTCTAAGGAGAAGTGTGAGGGTGGGGAATAAGTTACTAGTACAACACTTGGGTTTTTAGATGGCCATGTGCTTGTTAGGGGCTGATGGAGTAACCCGTGCCTCAGATACAGCTCAGTGACACAGGGCTTCTCTGCCTCAAGGGAGCATTGCTGTGGGGAGGGGGTGCACACACATCTATGAGCACAAATAAAGATTAAAAAAACAACACAGGAAGTGACCAAGACTGGAAGACAAGGGCCCCAGCTTTTAGCTCAGGTGTCTATGCAGGGACCAAGAGTTAGTGACTTATGCTGAGATGTGAAGGCCCTGCTTAGCTGATTGGGTGAGATCGGGGCGCTTGGAATATGGTGGGGCTTAAACTATGGTAGCTGATTGGCTCATCGTTTTGGATGCCAGAAGTCTGAGATCAGGATGTTGGTGGAATTACTTTCTTCTGGGGCCTCTGTCCTTGGCTTTTAGATGGTGCCCCCTCCCTGTGTGTTTGCCTGGTTTTCCCTCTGTGCCTGTTGGTGTCTTAATCTTTCTTATAAGGACATCAGTTGTACTGAGCAGGAGGCCACTCTCATGAGCTTGCTTTGCTACAGATCCTGCCTTTCAATATGAGGTACTGAGGTTTATGACTTGCGTGTGCATGTCTGGAGGACAAAAATGAAGACTCTTGGAGGTCAACGAGCAGCATGTTTGGAGGCCTCAGAGCAGGGAGGACATTGGTGCAATCAAGGAAGATGTTGTAGAAGTTGTAGAAATCGGCAGGGATGGACCATGCTGAGCTTTGCAGACCAGGGCCAGAGTTTTAGATTTCTCCTAAAGGGAAGGAACGCTATCGGTTACGTTTCAAAGTCATCTATGGAAGCATGAGAAGTGGCAGTCAGGTTGATTAAAGTAAGATGCTTCTCTGCTCCAGTGCTGGTGACATTTGGGGCTGGGTGAATCTGTGTTGCGGGGCCCCCTGTGTGGGGACCCTCTGCTCAGCAACATTCTGGCCTTTACCTCCTAAATGTTGGCGCCACCCCACCCCATTGTAACAACAGGAAGTGGTCTCTTGGATTGCATGGTGTCAGTTTAGTGAGGCAAATTGGATGGGGTTGAGGAAAGCTTTGAAGATAGAATTAGCTAGATTTAACCTCTCTTTGCTTGGTTTCCTTGGTGTTTTCAAGTTTGATGAGGCTGTCACTTCCCTAAAGCACCAGGCTATGCACCCCCTGCATGCGTAATGGAGTTACTCAGAAGCCTGGAAAGCATGTGCCTTGCTGTTGTCGCGCACCAGGCTCACCAGGCTCACCATGTCTGGCAGGGCCACCTGCGTGCAATGGACGTGGTGTTTAGTCTGTGCGTCCTCCCTGCGTCCTCCCAATCATTTGTCAAGCGCGTGTGCCGGCAGCCTTATTGACTCAGAGCAAACCCTTTGCAATCTAATCAGGCCAGTTTTCTGGTTCTGAAATCTGCTTATCGGCAAGGTATCACAACTGTAGGGACTTTTCCAGGGGGTTTGCCTTCGAGGAGCTTAGCTCTACAAAAGCAAGTGTAAGTGATTTCCAAGCAAAAACAGAGCATCAGTTCTGCATTCCACAGCCCTGAAGAGTTCCCTGCTTGCTGGTGGTGACGCCCGATCCAGCAGTTGTTCTGGAACAGCTGGAGTGTGTGGGTGTCCCAGGCCAGCATTTGGTGTCTGGCTCGGATTCAGCACCTGGCTGCCCTTTCTGGGCTCTTCCCTGTCACACCCACTCCCACGTCACGACATCATTTGCCTGTTCATCTTGGGGTTGATGGTGACTTCCTGGAATCATTTCAGAGGGAGTCTGACATTGAGTCTAAGCTCAGTAGAACAGAATACCATAATCGATTACTGATGTCTGCCTGGGTTTGTAGAGTTAGAGAAATGGTAACACAATGGATTCTCGGTTCCTAACAACCAGAGCTGCCTGCTTTTCTGTTCCAAACCCCTTTCTCCCTGGGCTGGGCCTCCCTGCACCGGCTCCCAGCTCACATTGATTCCTGGGCCTGATAGAGCCTTTCCTCTTGTCTCTGTGTGTCCTTCTGCTTCCTCTGTAAATGCCTTCCCTCTGCTGGAATCGGTCTTGCTCCCTTGAATTTTGACTAGGGAACGCTAGGGAGCCTTCGACAGCTTTTTAAAGTAATGAAATGTCACGATCAATATGCAGTTCAGAAAGATCTTTCTGGCCACTAGAAGGGAGAATGGATTGGAGGAGGGCAAGATAGGGGACAGGAAACTGAGCTGGCAGGTTGTGGCAGGCAGTAATCCTGCTTAGGGGCGGCAGCCACTCGGGCTTGCCAGGGGGCTGTAGCAATAGAGTGTGGTGACTGGCTATTTGTAGGGGTGACGGCATAAGGAAGGAACAGGAGATTTCTGAGGTTGTAATGTGGGCTGCGGGGCAGAGTGGAGCCACTTGCTGTAGCTTCTCTTCTGCATCCTCCAGGAAGCTGTGTGTGTCAGCTCACTTCGGCAGGGAGCTCTGTGTCTGTGTGCTACAGATCCAGCACAGTGTGGCAGATGGTCTACCAGGAATATCTGTGACACCAGAGCTGGCGTGCTGCTGCTCCCTGTATCCATTCCCATTGGTCCCTGCCGGCTTGCGCCACTTACAAATTATTTTTAGTATCACCCTGATAGTAGCATCACTGGGCCACAGCATATATGCTTATCTTGCTTCGAGAAGCCAAGGAATACTTCAGAGGGACAGCAGTAGGCAGTTGCTCACTGCAGGGTCCATAGGGATTTTTTAGGAGAAAGTAGGTGGAAAGGTATTCTGGGTAGAAGAAATAGCAGATGGAAAGGATAATGGCAAATGAAGGGATATGGTGAGGAATCTTCACTATTGAGATGTAAAGATGCTTTTCCTTGGTAGATCTTGAGAATGAGGGTCCTGGGCTCTTCTCGCTCTTACACTAGAAGCTCCTTACAGCTGTGGCATGGAGACCTTCAGGGTGCATGCGCCTCTCTGCAGCCTGATGGAAGGAGTCCTAGCTGTGCATTTGTCTGACATAGCCCAAGTGTCTGCATGTAAATGCCCAATAAGTGTGTATTGAATGACTCAGAGAGGAGCCCTGAAGCTGCGTGTACCAAGGGACTGCTCTTTTCTTTCCCCCTTTTCTTTTCTTTTTTTTTTTTTTTTGGCGGAACCAGGAATTGAACTCAGACCCTTGTGCTTGCCAGGGAAGCGCTTATTCCATTGAGCCATCTCCCCGGCCCTTCCCCCTTTTTCCCTAAGACCGTTTTATTTCCAAATGGTTTCTTATCTCCTGGATGTTGACCATGCTGGCTCAGGCTGACATGGCAAATCTGCTCCCAGGATGCAGAGCACGTGTGTTCAGCATGCCTCCCTGGCTTGCTGTCATTCCTAGTTGCTCTGTTCACCTGCCTGATGAAGGGCAGTTCAGGTGGGGGCCGTGGCACTTTATGACTAGCTTGGCTCTATACCTTGGGACCTGTGCCGGCAGGGGAGGGGGAGGGCAGCCTCTGGGGGGTTAGAAGGCCAGAGTTCAAGCTCCATCTCGGCTTTTCCTCCCCGTAGGAGTTCAGGCAGGTTGGTCTGTAGGGCAGCCTGTTTCTTCGAAGGAAAAAATCGCCAGGTATTCCTGCCAACTTGACCCAAATTCAGGGGCTTTGTGATCATGGGAGTTGCAAGTGGGAAGGAGCCTGGAAGGAGTCAGAAGGCTGACCTGGAAGGAGCCTTCCATTTTCACTGTGAGAGATAGCAGGATCTCAGTGTGCACATCTGTCTGTCTGGAACTTTAATTTTCGTCCATTGCTGCTGACTAGAAAAGGACATTTGGGTTTTGTGTCCAATTCCTTTGGTAGGAATAAAAATGTCAGTCTGTGACACCTGTTTTGTGTCAGGCAGCCAACTGCATTCCTTATAGTTTTCCAGTTCACTCAATCCCTGGAAGGGGCATGGGGTGGATCTTCAGTCTACTTTGCAGGTGGAGAAACTGAGGCCCAGAGGGGCAGAGACCACCACTGGGGTCTCACCTGTGCCATTTCGGCTGGGCTGCTATGTGGCGCCTTCTGACCTCTGTCCCCTCCCTCCAACAGAGAGCCAGCTGCTCCCCGGGAACAACTTCACCAACGAGTGCAACATTCCAGGCAACTTCATGTGCAGCAACGGGCGCTGCATCCCCGGCTCCTGGCAGTGCGATGGGCTGCCGGACTGCTTCGACAAGAGCGATGAGAAGGAGTGCCGTGAGTGCTGGCCCGGGCTGTGGGCGGCAGGGAGTGGGGCGTGCTGTGCCGGCCGAGGGCTGGGCGGAGATGGGAGGCCCTCATAGGGTCGCCCCCTGTGCACCGCTTATTGCATGCCCGAGGGCTTAGGCCTCTGTGCAGCCATCCTGGCCTGTCCACTCTGTCCCCGTGGCCCAGAGAAGCAGGATCTGTGCAGAAACGGGTCGTGCTGGTGGCAGAGCCACAGCTGGAGAGTGGTGCCTTCTCCCATCAGCCTCACTTCCTGGGGTGCTGCTGTCGCCTTCACTTACATAGGAGTCCTCTGAGGGTCTCTGAGGTCATGCAGCTGCAGTGTCTCACAGGGGACAGGCAGCGTGCTTGCTTGGCACTGGACCTTGGGCTCTCCATGCTGGCAGCCACCTTGCTTGTGGCTCATGTGCTGCTTCCTTGCTAAAGCAGTGAGGGACAGCACCGTGTGGGACATCAGGGTGAGGTGAGGGTTTCCCCGACCTTGTTTCTGTGCTGCTAGGTACAGTCTGAGCCTGCACCAGAGCATCCCCTTCCATGGGGTACCACCAGGGTCTGGTAGTCCTTGTAATCTCCTCCTTGCCTCTTAACCAGTCTTGTGACTGAAACACCAACAGACCCACATCGAGGATGACCAGCAGGGAGGGGCGGCTGGCATGTGGGTGGGGGACGTGGGGTGTCAGGTGACTGCACTTCTTGCCCTGTGGAGTCAGCTCCTCTCCTCCGTGCCCCCGCTGCTTCTGCAGAGTGAGCCTGGCCATGGGTCGGCCTCCTGAGCACCTGGTGGTGGGAAGCACCACACAGGCTTACTGATGGGTGACTGCCTTGAGGCCACATGGTGACACAGTGGCACTGCTTGGCTTTTTCATACACTGTGGGAGCCAGGCCAGTGGCCTGTTGGACAAGAGGACTCCGCATTCTGGTTCTGAACTCAGTGTCTGTCCAGAAGGCAGCTGAAGAAAAGGTTGAGATGGGATAGGAGCGTGAACTTTTAGCGTAACTGCCCTGGGGATTTGAGGCCCATCCGAGCGTGCACAGGAGGGGGCAGTAGACTTGGAGCCCACGGGAGCCAGCTGCTGCTTCCCACTTGACGTGCACAGGAGGGTGGCCGCCTGATCCTGGACCTGCCCGCGCCTGGCAAGGGGTCCTGCAGCCCCCAGGCCTGCTCCTGGTCCTCAGCGTTCTGGGGAGGACAGTGTTTTGGGGGAAGAGTATTCCATTTTGTTTATCACGTATAGTTTTTCTAAATAGACCTTCAGACAGTGCCTTCTTCCCTTCCTTCCTTCCATCCCTCCTTCCTTCCTTCTAAAATTTCTTTTGAAAAGTAACTTTTCCTTATTTCTACCATGGCTTCAAAACTGCTAGGAGCATAATATTTCTCATTGGAGCTCCAGATGAGCTGTATCCTCTGTGTGGTTTAAAGAATTATTAAGCACTCAGCAAGTGCCTTGGTGGACCTGCCATTTTGGGGACTAGCCGTGTTTCTGAACTGCAGTTGCTGTGACTGTTGTGAGCTACCTGGGGATATTCAGCCAGGAGAAGTTTGTGAAGGAATGCAAGATGTGGAGTCAGACCACGGAGGCTTTCCCAGCTTTATCTACAACAGCTATGTGATATTAGTGACTTATATAACATTCTCTGTCCTCTGTCAGGACAGTCTAGCATTTGAGAATTCCTGGAATTCTAGAACAGGTAAGAGACAGAGAATGTTAGAAAAAAAGACGGCGCCTGCAGCTGCCTGCAGCTGTTTGGTTTTGTAGGATGCAGGCTGAGTCCTGGCTACCTTCATCCTGTCACATGCCCCCGAGGGTAGTAGAAACTTGACTGGTATTTCTTTCTTTCTTTTGATCAAGGCATCATTTTAAAAAATAAACCATACATGCATCCAAATATGTGCATGACCCTCTTCTCTGTTGCCCCCTCCCTGTTTTGCTTAAATTGAAAAACCAGAACACTAGAAAGTTTAGACAATATAAGGAAAAAAGTCCCTTTACTAACGAGAATTTTACTTTCATTTTATTTATTTATTTATTTATTGATTGATTGATTTTGTATTTTAGGGAAGGGCCTACAGGGTGTTCAGGGTCTCACTACTAGATTGGACTCCTAGTGATCCACCTGTTTACAGCCTCCCAAGAGCTGGGAATACAGGCGGGCACCTCCACACCCAGTCTCGTCTCAGTGTGCCCCTGGGGCGGGGTCAGCACGGCAGGCCTGGGGATGGAACCTCGGGCCCCTGCGCCTGCTTGCGGGCCATTTTATTTTATTTATTTATTTATTTATTTATTTTTATTTTTATTTTTTTATTTTTCAACAAATAATACACTGCATATATTCTTCTTAGTGGTTAATTGCTGTACAAGATGCGGACTTGTGATCCTATTTACAAACACCATTAGAACAAATCATTCTATTCATTAACAGAATGTAACTATATATCTATCCCAACCACTTTGAATACACAGATACAAAATGGACATTCATCTGTATACCCCATTTTTTCTAAGTTCCGTTATTGAATATTATAGGTGTGTAAACTCAGCAAAATATTCTAAAAGAGTCCAGTAGCCCATAATAGCATTGGGTCTTCTGTTTAGCTGGCAATGTCAGAAATTATTGACCTGAGTCCCCTTGTGGGCCATTTTAAATCTCTTTCCCATGCCACTCTGGAAGTCGATAGCCTCAGCCGCGGAGAGTCCGGCTGTGTCCAGAGCTGACCTTTTCTCTGTTCTAGGTGGCTGAGTGTGCTTGGGAAAGGGCCCAGAAGGTTCTGTCCTTTAGCCGTTGAGAGGGCTGAGCCTCAGCTCCTTCTTCTCAGGGTGGAAACAGTTCAGCCAGGAAGCGTTAGCATGCCTGACATGTGCAGCAGGGTCTACATACAGCCCAGTGAGTGACGGGGGGGACCGACTGTGATCAGTCCCTTGCACCAGCTGTCATACACCACCGTCTTCATCGCGATGTAGGATGGAGGTGCCTGCTTCTTTCTACTTACCGTTCAAGGCCCCTGGCCACATTATCTATCATGTTTTGTACTCATGGTTATAGTTCTGTGCGACTGGCCCATGTTCCATCGCCGAGATGCCCTTACCACTTTCATCTCTTTTCATTTTGTTACTTCTGTTTTTTTAAAAAAATGATGCTCTCTGCAGCTAACTGGAGCGATCCCAGTGATGAAGAGCATTTAAGGCCTGACCAGTTTCCCCCTCTTCACTTGAATGCTGGGGGCTGCCGATGTAGAATTCATGCCGCCTGCGAGGGAGGCAGACAGGCCAGGCCGCGTGCTTACTCAGGACTCACAGAGCCTTTTCTCTGAGCAGGGGGGAGAAGGAGGCCAGTCCTCTCACCTCTGAGAGATGATTGCGTTATACTTGGGCTTGAAAGAAAAGAGTCAATCCGGCCTTCTTACAGGGTGAGGCAGAGCTGGGAGGGGCGTCCCACCAGTGAGCAGCTCTTTTACATCTACACAGGCGAAGGGTTTCCAGAAGTCAGCAACGTTTGATCCTAAGGCAGCAACATTATGTATCCTGCAGACTGAGGGGATGGAGAGGAGAAAAGCTGAAGCACTGCCTGGGGTCCGCCCTCTGCCAGACCTGCCTGAAACATCTTGCTCATTTTCCTTCTGGCCTTTTCCCAGTTGCAATTACGGAGATTATCCAGTTTTCACGTTTCGACTTTTTCCATGTAGCATTTCAGCATGCCAACATTTATTCTGTTTTTAAAATTTTCTGTCACTTTTAATGCCTGGATAATAGACCATTAGCTTGGTATGCGATAGTTCATTTATTCTGCTGTTATTTGTTCCTCCACGCTCATCTTTTTCTCCCTCCTGCTGTGCTGGGGCCCGGAGCCAGGGCCTTTCGCAGGCCGGGCAGGAGCCAGCCACGAGCTCTACCCATCTGTAGTCCAGGTTTCTAGTACCGGCAGTCACGTTCACTGTTGTAAATGTGAGGGAGGTTTGGACTATCCGGTTTCCAGAACTGTCCTTTGGCTGGATTGTCAGGCGCGAGAGTCTGGTGCCGGGGCTGGAGCCGTTGTTCTCTGGCCGTGTGCAGACTGCCTGCCTGTTTTGCTAACGGGCTGTACTCACTTGCCCTTGCTGGCAACCTGTGAAAACTGAGACTTTATTTTAGTCTTGGCAGCACTGAGCAATATATTTAGAAAAAAACATTTTTTTCAGATTAGCTTAATAGTTGAAAACCATTCCTGTATTTTAATTTTCCAATTCTTTTTTAAATTAAAAGACTGACTGTTTGCAACACCTGTTTGCTAGTTGTATTTCCTTGTGAAATATCTATTAATGGACTTCAATTAATATCCAACTGGGAGAAACCCGACACAGCTAGCCCTTTGTGACACGGACTGAGAGCTCGTGTGAGGGGCAGTGGAGTTGCTGGAGTCACTTGGCTCATGTCTCCAAGTTGGTAGTAAAAGCTACTCCCAAACAAGCCTGTCCATGTGTCCAAGGGAGATGAAACTCACTGTGAGTGGAGGAGAGGAAACTGAACTCAGGACCCTGCACTTGCCAGGAGGCAAGAGATGTAAATTGAATGGAACACTTCAGAAGATGATCATTAGCCAATACTCGTGCAAACACCAAGTTAGAGTTGAATTACTTCTTTGAAATCAGACAAAATGATTACTTGATATTGTTATATGTATCCTGTTGCTTCCTTTCTGTAGGTGACAATCATATAGAGAATGGAATGAAGTACAGTTATGTAAATTTTCTTATCTTGCACAGAGAAAATAAAGAGTTCTCCTGTGAGAATTTCTTCGACTTCCTTTTATGCACCTAAAATTGACCAGCATCCATTCTCATCTGTTCTCACGAGTCTCAAAGGCAGAGGCACCTCTCCTCCTATCTAGCTACGTATTTCCGTTTCCTCTAGGAATTGGATACTGTACATCCGTCAGAACTTCTTGATCTTCTGCTCTGGACTGCAGACTGTTGAGGTCTCTTGAAAGATCCAGTTTCTGTATTTCTTTTCATTTAT